ACCGGCATGACAACGCTCCTGTTCACGGCCGAACCAGCCAGCACCGTGATGCGGTTGCTCGACTTCGGAGAAGCCTCGTCAGGAGGCCTGTTGACGCGCCTGCCGGTGGAAGCTTCAGCGGCGGTCAACACATCGTCACTGTCCCTCACGTTTGGTCATTTCAACGACTCCTTCTTGTTCGACCCAGGTATGTGCCTTTTTCCACTGATCGTGCGCCGTGCCACTGGTGGCACCAAACAGACTCATCCTGACGGTTGTGATGCTATTTTGATGCTGCGCGATCAGACTTCGGACTGTTGGTGGGCAGGAAGGCGGGCAGTGGAAGCGATGACAATGTGGGCCTCATCGTGGGAGTGGTTGTGGCCGTGGCAGTGGCAGTGGCGTTCGTGGGCGTGGTGATCGCGGGTGGCCTTGGTGTGGCTTGGTGGCAAGGAAGGCGAAGGACTCTCAAGGCCGTGAACTTTGGTGTGGAACAAGTGGAGGAGTCCTTGTAGCCAGAATGCCTTCGCGCACAGTCGATCACCACAACTCTAATAAACAATTTATAACCCGGAAAAGAGAGGAAGCCTTATCATTCTGCTCATCAGAGACTCTGCAGTTAGTTAAGGGGGAAGCCCAGGGTAGTAGTGGTGTGTGTTGGTATGCTGGTGTGTCAGTGTGTCAGTGTTTCAATTGAGCCAATGTGTTGGTCTGTTGGTCTGTTGTTGGTCTGTCTGTGGGTGTGTGCTCAAGAGATAGATAGATCATAAATAGCCTGGTGAATCCCAAAGGATGGTAACACTGTGTCCGGAAAAAGGTGCCAGTGGCACCTTTTGTTAAGTAAAATCTGTACAAGTGATATATGTGTATGTGCAGCGAAAGCAGTACTTTTGTGAACATGGTGTGTGAGTGGTTTTGGCAAAATATGTAGAGAGTGGCAAAACAGGGAAAAATGGTGTAGGTCATGGTAAAAGCAGATGGGGCCAATGACGAATTTCAAGGCATAAGTGTAAAAAAGGGCTAATGTAGTTTTGTTGGAATGAGGAACAGAACAGAGTGGAGGGAAACATTAGCCAATGGACTTCCGCACTTTCCGTGGACCAGAAGAGGAGGAGGAGCTGGTCTTGGGTGTGAGAGGGGCAAGGGCAGGATGTGAAGTTAGGCCTTGTAGGAAGGAAGTGATGGCTGTGAGATCTGACTCCTCCAGGAATTTAGAGTGGAAGGTGAGGAGCCAGTTGCTGAGAGAGGAGATGTTGCCCTCTGCTATGGGGGTANAGGAGAGGCAGACAAAGCTGGAGTAAAGGGCAGCACAGAAGGAGAGGTAGTAGGTGGGATTTGCCTCATAGAGAATGT